AAGCAATCTGGAACAGCTAATATTTTCACTAGAACAACTCTATAAAGAACACTTTACTCTTTGAAAATTAAAATTTTTGGAAGTTTCAGTTAGTAATTCTTTCATAAGTTCATAAGTAAGTTTCATTAATATCTATTACAATAAAAAATATATTGTTCAAAATACTTGCGGATTCGACAGTATATTTCATAGTTTAGCATTTGCCCGTACACACCATTTAGAAATCATGTTGAGAATGTTTGCACAGATTGCTTTAGTTTCCTAAAATTATTTTTAAAAACCGGTTCCAATAAAGCAACATATAAAAAAAGAGCTGAACTATTAACAGGAATAAATTATTTTGGAAGCCAGAATATTGCTGGTGTGATAATAATGAATGCTATTTCAAATATTGCGTTTCTTTGCACACAACTATTTAAAGAAGAATTTAGTTATTGTAGGACTAAAAACTGCAATAATTGTTTAAACGTTACTTTCCATAAAAACATAATTTTACCAATATTTGTAACAATATTTGGCTATGCAGAGCTAAAGCAAGTAATAGAAAATTACATGCAAACTCTAAGCAACAATTGCAAAAAAATGTGGTCTGTTTATAGAAACAACGAATAGAGAGAACAATAAAACAAAGTTGAGTGATTACGCACGCAATTTGTAACTCCACAATAAATTCTATATCCCCGCAGTTATCATCAGTTACGAAAGTACTCAATCTTTGAATGATGTAGGACACTACCTGGCATTTGTGCCCAACAATGCCAATTGGATATTATTTAATGACTTACGAAAAAAATCCGTACAAGTTGAATATGCTACTGAAATAAATAGCACATAAATAGCAAATAAACATATGTGCAAAATGCACATATGTTTATAAATGAGTAAAGTGATGTAACCGTATTATTCCATGATATTAGTTTATTTATTATAGTTTACCTTAGGATAAGTTATTGTACTTATATAGTAATACTGATCGTATAGTTATTGATTTATTTGTTAGTTTAGTTTATTTATTAATTTATTACTTAGTTTATACAAAATAAATACACTTTAAATCGCATCTTTTGT